TTGCATTTGGTCTTGTTTAAAAAGTGCTACTAGACCTTTTTCAAATGCTGTTTCTTCCTTGTCAATAAATTCAATTTCAGCTATTTCTGGCACTCTATTTGATGCCACCTTCTCTTCTTCTATATTTTGTTGCCTATTTTGAATGTTGGGTTGTTGCCTATATTGAACATTGGATTGTTGTTTGGGTCATCGTATAAATTGAATATTGACTCATTTAGATAGTTTTTTCTTTGGAATATAACGTCCAGGTAGCATTTTTAATTAAATGTATTAAATACGATAAAAAAATACTTTGAGCAAATGTTGATTAAAGATGATTAATCATTTAATAATCAGTAAATCTGGATATTTATAAAGATACTAGCCTTAATAAAATCGATTATGCTATTGTATGTACTATCAATTAATAGCGAATGCACGATTTGTCAAGATGAACACTTTAAAGGACCATTATGATTAATAAAAAATCAATTATCTTTATAAAAATAATCGCTTACAATTATTCTGATTATATTTGTGATTAGTAAGTTATATTAGACTTATGCATTCTCGGAAATTTTTTATTGCTTAATAAAAAACTTCTGAAATCTTATAGAACTGGATAGCAAAATGCTTTTGTGCATACAAAAGAAATTTTACCAAAATGGTTAGTAACTATTCAAAAGATCATGATACATGTACGTACGTATATACTTTAAAGATAAATATACCAAATTTAAAATATTTATGTAAAATCGATGATAGCTCTTGTCATTATTAAGATAAGTGCTTAATTCAAAAAGGGAATCAAAACAAAAAGTGCAATTGTATAAATTTCCTTTTTTGAATTTATAACTTATTTTCATATGCACGTTTAAATCAATCAACATTAAAAAAATCAATGATCTAATTCGAAAATGTTACTTTACAAAATCATTCACGGGTTCTTTTATTATATCATTTTAATAATGAATTCGTTGCAATTAAAAACAAAGACAGTAATTGTCAAATATCTTGTAAAAGCCAAATTCGATATATTAAATGCTTTTGTCTTTTTAATATCCAATAAAAAATACAGTTTTTGCAAAAAAAAAATATATTTTAAAATAATATAAAATCAAATAAATTAAACGTATCAAACAGTTATTTCCATTAAAAATTAAACCTTTCGTTTGTCAATATCCTTAAAAAAAAAAAAAAAAAAAAATCAATGGAAGCTATTAAAAAAACCAAATCTAAACATATAAAAAAATCAAAGGCTAAATCAAAAAAAAACCAAATCAAAAACTAACAAGACTCTCTCAAAAAGATCATTGTGCCGCAATTGAAGCTGCTCTTAAAGTACTGCAAGTCCTAAGAATCCTAGTGTAAATTCAACTACCCTAAAGTTTGGAATTTCGGAAGCAACCCTTAGACGTGCTGTTAAAAATAGGTTGCCTAAATGTACTGGCCCTAAAACAGTCTTAAGCGAACATGAGGAAGAGCAGCTAGTAGGTTACTATAAAAATATGCAGAAGTTAGGGTTTGGTTTAACAAGATCGGGTGTGAACCACTGTGTGATGGAGATAGTACATAGCAATCATCGTGATCATCCTTTTACAACTAAAGGGCCTGGCAGGGCTTGGTGGAACCATTTTATGAAAGATCACTCAGACTTATCTTTTCGAATACCCCAAGCCCTATCTGAAGCACGTGCTCAAAGAGCAAATCCAATAATTATAAAAGATCATTTTGAAAAGCTGCAAAAAATAATTGAGGAACATTCACTTACTGCAGAATGCATATAGAATATGGACAAAACTGGTTTCATTATTTCCCTAAAGACCAAAAAGTTCTTGCGACAAAAGGTTTGTATTAAAAATTTAAATTATAAGCATCATAGCTAATACTAAAATTTAAGGTTTTTAATTAAAAAATTACTCAACTCTATAAAAGGCACTCGTCAAGTTCATAAAGTTTCACACGGAAATATTCATGAACACATTTCCGTTGCTCCAACAATTTCAGCGGCAGGTGACTACGTTCTTCCATTAATTATTTATAAAGGTGTTCGTATGATTTCTGGTCTATTAGCTGGAGGTCCAGCTGGTGCTGTTATGGGTTTTACTGATACTGGGTACATGAAGGAAAGCCTCTTCCAAATGTATATTGAATACTTCATTAAGTCAATTCCGCCTATTCGTCTGGTTCTATTAATACTTGATGGCCATAAAAGCCATGTAAATTATACAAGTATTAGATTCTGTCATGAGAATGGGATTCTACTTTATGCACTTCCTCCACACACAACACATATCCTTCAAACGTCCAAACTCCCTTTTGCAAAACTTAAAAGAGAGTATAATAAAGGTTGTGATGAGCTACATAATACTAAGGGAGAAGTAGTAACCAAGTATACATTCGCTAAGATTC